AGATATTATACTGAAAATGACACATTGAGACTTTCAAAACATAGTACATAATATTATGTATTTACATGACTGATCTAGTTAAATCGAGCATCGATAGATGGCACCACATTATGGTGACTTTTCAGGATATGATGCTGTGCTTCACCTACTTGGTTTGTGGCCCCTCCTTCTGAAGCTTCAGTTATGAATAAAAGAAAACCTTAAAGAATATTTTACTTCTAAATTAAACATTATGCACCAATTTAGTGCTGTAAACATTAACCTAAGTAAGTATTTTAAGCGAGAGGTGTGGTCAATAAAAGGTTACAGAATTTCTATCTTAAGAATGGTGCCATGATCACCATTCTTAAGATAGAAATTCTGTAACCTTTTATTAAATTAAAATAAATAGCAAATTATAAATATAGCAAAAATAGCAAATTTAATAATTAAATAGCAAATTATAGAATAAATAGCAAATTATAGAGATCACAAAAAATTTATACCCTTGCTTGTCTTAAAAATTCCCTTTTTTTAATTTTTTTTAATAACAAAATAAAATATATTTGCTAAACTAATTCTTACCACCATATGTTTCTATAAAAAAGTATAATTCAAGAATAACAATATTTTTTATTGCATTATTCAGATTTTTCATGACAGGGAAAGGAAATTTCATTAGTGGGAAAAGCCAAACGCTTTTGTAGGGTAAAAGAATGTAACATGATGTGATGAGTAAAATTGTAATGAAATGTAAAGGTATTAGAAATTTGAAAGCATTTGGAAGAGCGAGATTGGAAAATGAATGTCATTAAGTAAACAATAAAAATTATTATGATGTGAAGGTGTTCAAAAGAACCCAGTTGATTAAATGAACAAGCTTTACGGATAATTTTTTAAGATCATATTAAAATGTAATTAAGTGACCGCCGTACTTAGCCATAAAAATTTATTTTTTCCTTTCAAAATTCAATTCGTATTTCCTGACGAGAAATTTCAGCGCTTTTTCAATTTGGCCAATATACACCAAACAGCACGATACATATCAAACAATGTTAAATTACAAAAGAATTAAAAGCACATGTGAGACCTTAAGGAATTGAAAAATGAATTTTACTGATAGGTGAAAAAAAATAACTTAAATATTGAACTTATAAATAAGTCGAGAAATTTTGTAATTGATAGTAAGTTTAAATAATTATTAGGTACGTGTCAGCTAAATGTCACTGTCAGCTTAGTGTCCTGTTGACTAAATGTCTTGACAGTTAAGTGTCCCATAGCTGAATGTCCTGATGGTAACTCTTTGTGTTGGCTAAGTGTCCTGCCAGCTAAGTGTCCTTGTCTGCTAAATGTTCTGTCGGCTAACTGTTCATGTCGGTTAAATGTCCTGTCAGCTATGTGTCCTTGTCGGCTAACTGTCCATGTCGACTAAGTGACCTGTGGGCTAAGTGTCCATGCCGGCTAAATGTCCTGTTGGCTAAGTGTCCGTGTCGACTAACTGTCCTGTCGTCTAAGTGCCCGTGTCGGCTAAGTGTCACGGAGCTCCACAGCCGGGTGCTGGCCAAGGCTGTCTCTCCAAGTTTCCTCCACCTGATCCCATTCAGTGCAGTAGCCTTCCATTGGTTAACTCCAGTTAACCTTAAATCCTCCTCAACATTATCTATCCATCTAGTGGGTTAAATATTCTGTTTTTTATTTAAATTTTTATATCGATGCAACTTATAATCAGTGTGCCCAGATATTTAAATAGTAGTGCAATTAACCCTCCTTTTAATTTCTGATAAAATTTAATCAAATATAATATTTATATTGAATAAATATAATATAAAATAGCTAAGGAGGTCAAAATATTCATGCTTCATCCTCACACAATTCATCAGATTGCTTTTTGCTCTTTAAAATTTATTGATTTGTCAGAATAAGCTCAACTTCAGTTCTTTTGGCTAGCCTCTTCTATCCAATATTCCATAGGATTTTCTCTCATTTTTTGTAAAGTTTTTGTCAGCCTTTCCTTTGATGCAATGGAACATGCAAGAATAATATCTCCTTTTGAATTTCAATATTGACTCGATTAACATCTCAAAGAATATTAGCCCAAATTGTCAGGTTGATAATGAATTCAAAATTTTTCACAGCATGTAACAAATGTTCTGCCTCATACTTTAATTCCGCATTAAGAGAAATGTCTTGAATTTCCTTCAAGGATTTCACTACTTCTCGTAAATTAACTAGAAGGACTTTTACAGCCACATATTTTGCCGACCATCTCCTCTGGCAGCTTCCTTTTAAGTTGATTTACATACATTTTTTATAATATCCCATCGATTAAGTGGATCCAAAAAATAGCAAAATATTTTCTGGATAATTCCAGATAGATTAACTGCTTCCGAGTACAATCAGGCAGGATGAATACCAACAAGATTGAAGGAGTGAGCCAAACATGGCACACATTCAGCCAGCTCATTCATTTCTGTAATTCCTGGCTTGTGCTCCTTTATAAATGTCAGCCATCTTAGACACATTACTGTCAGATTTTACCATGGCATTGCCCAACATCCTGACCATTAAGTGTCAATTTTTGCACAATCCGTTAAGAAATATATTATCCTATAGTTTTACCAATTTTAGTGAAATCAATAAAGCTTTCCTTTATTTCACACACATTACCACATTTTTTAGGTATTGAATCACTTGGCTCATTTGTTCTGTGTGCGATACATCTGGAGTGCAGTCGAACATTATTGTGTAATACTGGGCTTCATTGATATCAGTTGAAATGCTATTTTGAACTGTTTTTCCATTATGCCAATAATTTCATTTAGATGTTTCACGCTGAGTTAATCTTTTGAAGTTTTTTTCCCAATTGATAAATCCTGTAGTACATAATACTCACGTAGCAACAGCAGCATGTTCAGCAAATCTTGCAGAGTGTAAAAAAAATTGCATTTTTGATTTTAGAATAGATAAACCAAGATCTTTTAATCTTTTCAATATTTTCCAATGTTCGTTACCTCATAGAAGATATTAAATGGCTGTTATCATTTTCAATAGGTTTAAGGTATAGGTTTTCTGGTTGTTTTCCACTAATAATACACATTGACTGTTTAATAGATATTGTTGTTGATCATTCATTTTTTCTGTGTCTGACAAATCAAAAGATTTTAAGTCTTCACTTTCTTGCTGCCCATTCCTACCTAAATGGGGAGATTCTTTATATCCTGGCTTCACATCCTGCAGTTGTTCATTCGAGGTCAATGAAGAAGGTTGTTCTTTTAAGTTCTGACTTGTAGACACTTTGGGGATAATAGATGAGGATTTGTTATCTTGATCATGCAAATTACTAGAAATATTAATATCCTGTAAAATATTAACATCATCGGAAACTAGGGAAGGGAAACTTGCGGACAATACACTTCTTCCATGAAGCTCCCTTTTTTTTAGCTGCAATTTGTTTTTTCTCTTTGACCCTACCTTTGACTCTTTTCCTATAGTCCACTAATGAGAGTTTTTTTTTCTAGGCATGCTCATGATTTCTTTTATTTTAAATGAAATACCTTATGACTTTCCTTAATAAGAACAAATAACAACTGATTTACTCTTGGCAGTTCTAGAGCTGCATAGTGCAGACTACTGAGAGCCAGCATAATTAAAAAAGAAAACAAAAGATACCTCGAAACTAAAAAACATAAAACTAATAATAAATCCAACTTTAAAAAGTCAGAATGTGTGCCATCGTTCTGACTAAGTCAAAGGTGAGGCTAAGTTACTGATGAGCTACAAAAAATCTAAATGCCTTTATTTCTTTTAGGCACAAGCCATGTTGACAGTCTGTTGTATATTCTATACATACATTAATTTGAATTATTTCATTGGTCTAGGACATCCCAAGGTTAATTTTTGTTAAGTGAAATCTTGGTAAATAGTTGCAGAGCTTCACTATTTGTCAAGAGGAATTGCTGTGAAAAAGAGGTGCCTAGAAGCTATCAAGTTCTCATTTGAATACCTCTCGCCAGCACACTTTGACCTTTTGATGCCTTGAATCCCTCTGTTACTTTCTTTTTAATCTTATCTCTTAAGTTGTAATCGGCTATAATTAACTTTTTTTAACTCTTTGTTCTTTTAAAAGGGTTCTTAGTAATTAATTATGAATTTTTATAAAAGAGTGTTTAAACCTGGCCATAAAACTACTAGTGTTGTAGCAAGTTAGAGTGCTGCTGTAGCCATACAACATTCCAAATACAATCCAGGGCCGCACTTGAATTTGCCACCTGGGGCAGCAATCCCAGCTTCCCCCCCCCAGATCCAGGCCAAATTTAATAGTGGCTAAGAGGCAGTACTGAGGTATATATCTTTTTGTAGAAAATTATTTAGCAGATATGGTTATATTGCAGGAAAAGTAACAAATATTTCATTCATTTTAAAGTATGTATTTAGAAAGATAAAGAATAGAATTGCATAGAAAATTTTCTTAAGGAAACTGGCTTGTATTCAAGTTACACGTGGGAGAAACCACAAAAGCCAATCATGTGACCAGTTTTGGAGTTTGGACTACCGGCATTTAGCAGTCTTAACCACTAACCATTGTGGGAGCGATATTGTAAGAGGATTATACAGAGACATCTTTGTAAATGCATTTTACACCATGAAGGTGTAACTAGTTTTAAATATTCATAACTACTGGCTCAAAGCTAATAAAAGTATCAAAAGTTAAACATTTGTTATTTGATCATTGATGATAATTATTGATATATTTAGATCTGAACTATTTTAAAAGCATAAAATGAGTTTTTTGAATAACTATTTATTGTGGATCATTGTGCATAAATAGTAATTTGCAATATGCTCAAACTTTATGGACAAAATATTGTTCTTAAGTAATGTCTTACTTTCATCTGTATAAGAGAGTTAAGTCTTAAACCATTTTTATTTAATTGGGATGGTGCAGCATATTTTGTTTTATCATTTTAATATTATTTTACTGTTTTGCATGAATTTACTATTAATATTTCTGCATTTTTCAGGTCTGGGGTGCTCTAAGTCCTTGGGAAGCTGGTACTCATGCTGAGTATGTTTTAGCAAATGCTTGTCATGTTAGTTCTTTCTTCTTTTCTTCTTCTCCTTCTCATTCCCCCCCCCCCAATTCTAACGTGTAATTTTTTTGTTTCAAATATTTATTGAACTTTTGAAGTCATTTTTCTTAACTAAGAGACTTTTATTCTATACTAAAGTATTCTGCAGGTTATCAGAAAATTAGAGTTTCAATGAGGTAAATTATTTTTAAAAATGTTGTAAATTAATTTTAAATGCTGTAACTATTAATATGGTGCAGCATAAATTATTTATTTTTTTTTTTTACTTATAATTTGAAGTATATTTCATCTCTTATATGTTATAATATAAAATAATATTAATGTCTTAATACACAGTAAGTATTTTTTTATACTTCTTGTATACTTCACAGTAGTATTTATTGTAGTTCTGTATAAATACTACATTTTTAAAAGATTAGTAATTGGAATATGTTTGTTAATAAACTTGATTTGTGAACTTAAGTTATTCTGATGAGATACTGGTGTATAGAAAGTATGTAAATATTATATGAGATAAGAAATAATAGTTTTCATTTATTAGTTTTGATTGTTGAGTATAAAACATAGCCTTTTGAAAGATTTATTGTCAAATGAATTATAAACAGTATCAGGTTTTAATCCAACTGTGTGTCATGTAATAAAACTTAGGTATTGTTCTGTTTGTATGTATCGTAATGTTCCTAAAAACTGCTGCACCTGTGATATGCATAGCACTTTACTAGCAATAGGCTTCTCTTCTATAAATATAGGCTTCTGTGTTTTTGAGAATGGAAAATTTTCCAATATTATGAGGCATAGAAAAAATTAGGAACCACTAGTCTAAGAGGAATTATTTATCTGCATGATCAGCTTGAAGGTAGCTTAAGATATTACTCAATATTTTTCCTCTGGTATTGTCTGGAATAATTGTTGAGCAGGAATTTTCAAGTTACTGCTATGTTTTGATTGCAGATAGTCATCTTTAGCTTTCATATGATCAGAATTTTGGTCTGGTAAAATGTTTAATATTAGATGTATTCCTTTCACTTTTAACCAGGACAGTTTTTACATATTTTTATTTGGGTAATAACAAGATTCTAACTATTTGCTGCTTTATTTTTATATTAAATATTTCTAGTGAAGATTTAGGCTTTTGAAAAATTTATGAAATGAATGAAAATAATATAGATTCACTTCATTGGAATGTTGTTGTTTACAATAGTATAATTAAGTTCCTTACTTTTTCTTTATATAGATGCAAAGATTGGATATTCAAATTGAGAAAGTATCTAATTGATATAGAGACAGTTTTCTATATATAAATTGGTATGGGTATAATGGAGGAAAGTGGGCATCTTTCAAAAAGTAAAAGGTCTACATAACATTAAAACTACCTCTTTTTTTTTTTTTTTTTTTTTTTTTTTTTTTTTTTTTTTTTTTGTTTGTGTGTGTGTGTGTGTGTGTGTGTGTATGTATTTATTTGTTAATAGTCTTATATTGTAAAGAACAGTAAAAGAAGTCTAAATAATCTATTGAAAATTATAGTAACTAAATAATGTTTGCAAGTGAATTAAATTACACAAATTTGATAGTTATATAAAATTATTGGATCACTGCTAATTGTATTCATACTCAATGCATCTTGACTTAATGAGTAATGCAGTGAAAGTTTGAACTTTGGTTCTATTAATATTTATTATGTGAGTGTTTGTTTATGTTTGGTAATTTTCCTAACTTAATGATAGTTTGTATCTTTACCTACAGTATTTATTTTAGGTATCTAAAAAGCCAAATTCTTTAACACATGTTGAAGCTTCGTCATTTCCGTATGCTGCATTAACTGCCTGGGCTGGAATAAGTACATTTGGAGGTCTTTCAGAAAATTCAAGTTATGGGAAAAAGTATACATTATTTTTTTTTCAAGCCTAATATTGAAATTCTGAGCAAAAAATATGTGATTGTGTCAACAAACACAAAAGAAGCACTTTGTCTACATCATATTTATTTGTACATATTTAATGGTAGAATGCTTTTAAAAATTTTCATTAATTAAATCAAAATTTTAATCTTTCCAGAAGAATACTTTTTAATTTTATTTCAGGAAAATAACGGTTTTATTTTCCCAGAAGTTGTTGATTATCTGAAAAATTTTGTCAATTTTAATTCCTTTTCTCCTCACAGGGCTGTCTCCCTTGTAGAGTAACTTTTCTTCACATTCTATTAAGTATTCCTTTACTGAATTGTGCATACATTTTCTAATGTTTGTTTGTATGATCACAGGTATTCAGTATAATTCTAGAAAAAAAATTTCACATTGTTATTCACTCAAATAATAAAATGGGATGAATATTAAAGGAAGAATGTATCAGGTGTCATTAACAATGTACTATCTTAAATTAGTTTTTGATATAGCTTTTGTATTAGTAATAGATTGATAGCTTCCCAGCCAAATCTGTGAAGCTTGACACTCAGCTGTGATCTGAGACTTAGATCTTTTGGTTAGTCAATACCAGATGTACTTGTGGTGAACAAAGGCTCCCTCAGTAGAATGCTACTGCTTAATAGATGTCATGATTATGTAGTATGGAATCCTAGCATCATAATCGTCTTGGCAGGAACCATGTTCTTGGTGAGATGGAGGTCACGATTCTGGAGCCCTAGAGATCTTTCCTCCTTTTCATCTCTTCTTATCATTTCTTTTCCATTTTTCCTCTATTATGGCTTCCGTTTCAGAGATTGGTACTCAAAGTAAGATGCTGTTATGTTCCTTTACTTCTAGTTTCTCATGGAGAAGAAACTAGCTACATGTTTGCCATGTGTTGTAACCCATAAGTCTGAAAAGGAGGGTCCTAGTAATTGAATAGCAAGGTACTGTCCTGAATACGCTGCTTTGGCCTCTGCTACAGATCAAAACAGAAGGCATTTAGTTGTCTCCTCTACAGTCAGTCAGCTGGTCAGTGGCTTGGGGATAAAATTTCCTGAGTTATTGCTTTTGGGAAAGCTGAATGTGGGGCTTATGATTACATATTGACCTAGTTAGCCCTGGTGCAGGAATCTCTGTGTCCTTGTTGGATCATATGGTGGGTGAGGTCACTAATTCCGAATTTTTATTTTTATTTTTATTTAGTATCCCTTCTAAAAGTTAACAAAAGGAAACTACTACTTCATCAAAAAAGTAAAAACAGGGTGAATAGGAATTCTGGAAAAATTCCACTCACATTTCTTGTTATAAATAACACAAAAGGCAATCTTCAAAAGATGTTACCAATTCTGATTAAAAAAAAAAAAACATATACAGGCCACTATTGGTGAACTGAATTTGGATGATCTGCTCTGGTACTCATTCAAATTACTGTTTCACTTAACTGAGCTAATTTTTCAGATTCCAGAAAATGGAGTTACAGTTCTTTTACAGTTCATATGTAGCTCTTGTTGGAAGCATGCCAAAAAGTTCTATTCCAATTTTAGGTGAGAAAAGAATGTTTATCCTCCCATGTTAAAAGTAGATTTAATTTTTATCATTTAACAACTTTTTGAAAAACTTTTCTTTTAGAATTTCATTTTTAGTTCTGTGTAGAAAGGAGATTTCAAGGACTACAGTTGAAAAAAATCAGTTTAGAAAGTTAGCATTTGATTGTTTCGATTCTTCCGATCTCATAGCTTGTTCAGTTCTTTTCGCCCTTCACTCCAATCTTGCTAACTGGTCCTGATCCCACTGCTCATCTGATTCTTTCTGCTTTTTACTCCATAGCCAGTCTTGATTCACCTGTCATTCAGATCTTATTCGTCAATGATATTGTTAGTGAGTGGAAAGTCATAAAAAAGAACCAATTCATTTCAGTGAGTGAACAGTTCTGATCCGATCCCATAAAAGAGCAGTTTTTCTTATTGCAATGGTACATCAAAGAAAATCAAATAGCTACTTTCTGGATATCTTTTAATAAAAACCACTTCTCCAGTGCAATCTGCTCTACCCTTCTTAAGTTGGAAAAACTTGGGTATGTCAACATTAATGTGGCAGAACACAAATCATTGAATTACAGTCAGGATGTTATTTCTAAGATTGACCTCCTCTTCATATCAGATGAGGAAATTGTCTTGGCCCAGACAAGACAGCCCAGACATTCTGGTCTTGGCCCAGATGTCTAACAGCCCAGACATTCTGGTCAGAGCCAGGCTGTTCTGAATACGCGAGTAATATCGTGCTAAATAGAAAAAAAAAAATGTGGTTCATTTAGACTATGCCTGGACTTAACGACACTTAAAAACCTGGTGAATCTTTTTCCGAATATTTAATTGCCATGTGTGAAATAGCCAGTTGCGGTTCTGTTGATGATTCATCAATTCTTGATTGTGTAATCATTGGGATACCGTATCAGATTAGTAACAAAGTTATTTTGTATGGGTGTCAAACTATTTCTGAATTCAAAGAGAAACTAAAAATTTATGAGAAAATCCGCATTCGAGATATGAAGAATAAGGGTTATTCAAGTACTAACACACAAAATAAAGCATGCGCTATACCTAATAAGAGTACAAAACCAAGGTGTTATGACTGTGGAAGTATAGAGCATGTAATGTATGCACATTCTTTATGCACGTAAAATATGTCAAATCATTTGGCATCCAAACAGAAGACACACAAAATTAGCAGCCAATCCAAAATCTATAACCAAATGCAGCACAGAAACCAATACCTTCAGGTGTAAAAATATAAAATAATAAAGAAACAAGAACCTATTTCCATGTGAAACTAAAAACCTGCACAGGAAGAGCAAATATCAGACCATCAGAAGCCAAATAATGGCCACATGTAATAATAATTTCATAAATAATCGTTCCATGGAATTGTCTCTGTTTCCACCAAAATATTGATGACATGAAAGACTTGATTAATTTGAATCATCCTATGGTTTTGGCACTGCAGGAGACACTCTCCTGAAACCAAAGAATCAAACTAAGCTTTGAGGGTTTTCCTTTGTCAGGAAAAACTATCTCACAAGCGAGTTTATCAATCATTGTGTAGGGCTTCTTACCTCACTAGATTACCTGCCCAGCTCATTTCCTTTAATAACAAGCTTCCAAGCTGTTGCCATTCAGATAAATATAAAGACTGGTTTCAGTTTATTCTGTTTACTTGTCTTCAAATGTCCTTATTGATAAAAGAGATTTAGATAATTTAATGGAGCAGCTGCCTGAACCTTTTATCATAATAAGTGACCTTTAAGGGCCACAGCCTTTCTGCAGAAGTAAAAATGTAGACAAACTAATCCTCAACATAGACAAACTAAGCTAATGATTGAAGAACATTACCTTTTTCTCCTCAGTATTGGACAGGATATACCTATATATATGAGCCCTACAAGGATTTTTCATACTTTTGATCTCTTTTGCCCTTCTGCAATTTTAGTGTTGGAAATTATCCTTATAATAAAAATCATTTTCCTATTTTTATAATTCTTACATGAGAAGGAGCAAATCCCATGTCAATATCTCCTTGTTTTGTACTTGATAGGTCGGACTGGAAACTCTTTCTAATCTCTTGCAGAGCTCAAAGAAGAAATGAAAAGATGTGCCTATCGATTATGCAGAGAAAGCCATTACTGATTTTATAATGCAGGCAGCAATATCCTTTGTACCTGTGACATGAGGAAAACTATGAAAATATTCAAAACCATGGTGGAACCATGAATGCCAAAAAATTCTCAGATAACAGAGAAAAGCTTGGTACATTTTTCAGAAGTACCCCACTTTGTCAAACCTTACAACCTTCAAAAAAGCAAATGCAGGAAAAGTAAGATGAAAGATGTGTATACTATGTGTTGTCAATAACATCCTCTGCACCCAAGTAAACAAGTATGGACGAGAGTTAGGAAAGGAGGGATGTATTATGTGGAATGTATAAGGACCACATACTTTCCATTTTGAGAAAAAAAAAAAGTAGTCAAATATTTAACACCACAGAAGAAATTGCAATTGTTATTGGTGAGTCCTTTGTTACCGTTTTTAGTAGTAGCAATTAACCACCAGCATTTTTTTTTTTTTTAAAGCTTATGTAAGTCAGAGCCATCTAATGGTGATTTTACGATGTTTGAACTAGAGGAAGCTTCATTAGAAACATATAGGTCCAGATGGTATCAGATATGAAATGCTGAAGCATCTCTATTGTAAATCATTAGCTTTCCTTCTCACTGTTTACAGTCGAATCTGGAAAGAACACACTTTTCCCACTGCAGGGAAGAGAGGTGTTATACGTATAGCTAAGCCTGGGAAAGATCCAAAAATTCCCTCAACTATTGTCCTATAGCACTTACAAGTTGCATAGGCAAGCTGTTGGAAAAAATGGTAAACCACCGCCTAGTTTAATTCTTAAAAAATATAGCATGATGTCACCATATCAGAGTTATTTCCATAAAGGTAGAACAACCCTCAGTAATATTCTCCTTTTGGAAACTTCAATCCGTAAAGCATTTCTCAAAAGAAAGCATTTTGTTTCTGTGTCTTTTGACATTGTGAAAATGTACGGTAAGGCATGGAATTACAGTATTTTGCGTGACTTTTATGCTTATGTGGCAACTTAGCGGTTTTCACATAGAATATTTTTAAGGCTAGAACTTCTCAACTGACGATTGGCTCTGTTTTCTCAAATGTATTTAGTCAAGAAGAGACTATGCCTAAAAGTTGTGTTTTAAGAGTTACATTGTTTAGTTTAAAAATAAGTACTATTTTCAAAGAACTCTGTCCTACTTTCTCAGGATCATTATATGTTGATGACCTTCAAACAAGTTACTGTGATGCAGATATGAGATATGTTGAAAGAAAGTTGTAGATGACTCTGAACAGGACTGAAAAATGATCAGAAAGACATGGATTTATCTTTTCAGAACAAAAGATTGTTTGG